CCAACATCACACTTCCATCAATAGAGAAATTCTCAAGTCAAAAAATCAACATATAAGCAGCAGTGCTTGTCTATATTATTGACCAAATGGATCTAACTGATGCCTATTGAGTATTTCATCCAACAGTTGCAGAATGTACATTTTTTTTAATCCATCATTGCATGGAACATTCTCTAGGATAGACCATGTGGTAGGCCACAAAACAAGTCTCAACAAATTCAAGAATCTCGAAATCATAATGTGTATCTTTTCTGACCACAATGAAATGAAGCTGGAAGTTAAAAACATAAGAATCTAGAAAATATACAAACAAATGGAAATGAGCAACATGCTCCTGAAGGAACAGTGGATCATAGAAGATATCAAAAGGGAAATTAAAAAATCCTTGAAACAAATGAAGATGACAGCACAACACAAAATTTATGGTATACAGCAAAACAGTGTCAAGAAGAAATAACAATTAATACCTACATCCAGAAATTGGAAAGATAACAACAACAACAAAAAATTTAACAATGCATCCCAAGAACCTAGAAAAACAAGAACAAACCACACCAAAAATTAGCAGAAGGAAAGAAATAATAAAAACTAGAGAAGAAATAAACAGAATTGAAACAAACAAAACACACACACACACAAGATCAATGTAGTAAAGTTTTTTAAGTAAAAAAATTGACCCTATAATGCCAACATACTTAAAATCAGCTGGAACCACCAGTTCCAATTGCTCTACTTCCAACCCAGTTTCCTGCAAATGGTCCTGTGAAAATAGTGGAAGATGGCCCAAATGATTGTTCCCTGTCACCCATGTGGGTGACCTGCATGGGTTCCTGGCTTCTGCCTGGCCCAGCTCTGGCTGTTCTGATGATCTCTTTCTGTCTCTCCCTCTCTGTCACTCTGCTTTTCGAGTAAATAAATCTCTGGAGAAAAAAACAGCTGACACGACATGAAAATACAGTGATAAGTTTTCTTAGTCTCAGAATTCCATACACTTTGGGTATCTACATCTATTTCAACTGAAAATGCATATTTATAAAAATATCAAGACATGGAACATAGCTATTAACATAATCAAAGCAACTTGTAACAAAAGTACTCACCATACTAATTCTCTTAAGGTGCTTTATTCTCTAAACATATATAGAAAGTAATTTCAAGACCTCAAACCTCGTCTCAGAAGAGTAAAGGTGTTTTTGATTGCCGCTCCGATATACATTCCTTATCTCCCTGTTTTAAGGGACCTGGAGTTTCCCAGTGAGATGGTTTGAGTGAAATGGAAATCATCTAGACTACTACTCACCCCCACCCTAAGACTTCAAGGCCATTAATGGCTTAAGCAAAGCAGAATGCTCTACCCCTCCTGGCCACATGGACTGGTTCAGGGATGAGAACTTGACTACAATCAAAGCACTCAAAGCCAGTGAAATCTAATTAGGGGGTTTTGGTGACGATGACATCAGAGAAGATGCTTTTCAGCAGGTGGCTCCGGAAGTCATTCTGAGACCAGGTGGGGAGAGTGCATGAATAAAGCTCCCAGGCACACAGTGGCAGAGCTGTGAGGCAACAAGAAGCTGTTTACAGCCAGCCTGAGCTGCAGTTTTGGATACAGCTGCGTTTTTAGAGACCCCTATTCGAGAACCAACGAACTTACTTCTCTGTGCCAGTCTGGGCCCTATTTCCCTATTATCTGAAACCAAGACTACTACTTACTATTTTTTTAATCTACCATGTGAAGGGTAACAGATGTTTGGGTTTGGGAGTTTCATTTTCACTATGAAATTATGCGAAGAACCACAAGCCACTGGCAGTGCTCACAGCATGTGTGGAAAGGCTCTGTCCTTTTGGTAGCTTTTCTTCTCTTTCTTTCCAGAGCAAACACTTCTGTGAATCCTCTCTGACCCAGGCCAAGTACACTGGAGGCCACACTGGCTCTGCAGGAACATGTAAGAACTTAGCACATTGAGAATGCAGTGTCCCAGAGTGTCAGCAACCTACATTTTCTTTTCTTCTGTGGGTGAGACACACCATGGCCTCTCAAATATCCATCACGATCTGCCATTGCTCTCTGCTATTGCTAGTTGTTGAATAGTTGTTGAATACAGCCAAGCATCCATTTTGCACTAGCTGATTGAACCTTGGGCAGGAGTCCATGTCAACCACAGCTGCTACCATATTGCTGGCTCATGTCTTCACTTCCTTCAGGATTCTGGGGCCAATTTTAAATCTTCCTTGGATCCCTTACCACAGGCAAAAATTAAAAAGTCCACTCATGATAATGATGCCAATCTGTCATACAATTAAATCCAACTCTGCATCTGTCTGTGTATACTAAATGGTAGAATTCGCCACTGGTCCTCCTTGTCTACTATGGGGAGCTGGGCAGTTATCCTGAGTCTTGCCCTCAATTACTCAATAGTTAAGTTTCCCCAAGTCTGCACATTACAGTGTTCCATTCTTGAGACAGCACCAACATAACAAAGATGGCTTTGACTTGGCTCCCTTCCTCCTCCTTCCTCAGCTGCAGGGCCCCAAGTACAACTTATTAACAATGCCTGTGGTGTCACCAATTCCTTCAGATTCTTTTTTCCCCTCCCCCATAACAGGGCCACAGGGGACTGTGTCGCTGTCCCGCAGCAATGGACTTGGTGCACGGAGCCGATAATAACACGCGTGGACCCTGACTGATGGTCAAAGCTGAAGTTTATTAGTGGCATCAGACTTTATACACTGAGGGTCATAGGAGATAAGGGAGGAAGTATTGAGCTCATCAACAAAACCCAGTAACAGTTTCTATGCTTTTGTTTGGAACTCCTTTTGTCTTGTATATTCCAAGTGTTCTCACACACATTCTGTCCATTCAACTGTTCTTATACAAATGTTATCCAATCAGGTATACAAAAGGTAGCCATTCGGTTGTTCTCATGCAAATATCATCCAATCAACTGTAATCCTGTGCTCGCTGACCCTCTAGGGTCACAATGTCCTCCTACAGACTGTACTTGGCTCTCTTCCCTGGCGGGGCGGGGGGGAAGAGGGTAGGCTGACTCATAAGTTGAGCATGAGCCCTCGGCTTCCCTCCCTTGTTTATGAGATTGTCTCAGGTGTTGGGACAGATGGGTCACAGTTCAGGCATCCTACTGATGCTAGGTGTGCGGACAGGGACCTCATGTGGGTCTCATTGGGCAGTACAATGCCTAACACCTGCTTGTCAAAACATACAAAGCCATGAATGTATGAAAGAATACCCCGGTGCCTCTATCACCTGACCCTCAACACCGGCCTGGTGGGATGTAGAATCCTGATCATCCATTCTAGGAGACCATGTCTCATCTTTTTTCTTAAGTTTCCTGAATACAGTTACAGCCTTTGAATGCCATAAGGCCCTATGACACTGCTGATATTTCAGCCTAACTCTAAATCCAGGAATGCTTAAATGCAAACAGCCCGCTGGGCAAATCCTCCTCAGGCAGCAGGAACACACAGCTGAACTGCATCATCTCCCAAGGGTGAGAACCACCCATTCTCTTTCTTTCTTTTTTTCTTTCCTGTTCCAATTTGTGTGGTTCCAAGTGCTCAATAATTGGTATGGCTTTGCCAACAGTCCTTTAGGCCAGCTGGGGAATAACAACCATTCACGTTCCTCTGAAAGTTGTAGATGTGAGCGCTGGGAATGCTGCAGGGATTTAGATGGTCCTGTGACAGGCGGTACAAGTCACAAAGTGCGAGCAAGTTGCACAAGGAAAGTGAGTTATGTTGCAGTGTTTGCTGTGAATATTTATCATGCCCATCTCATTATATAATGCCGGCCATGTTTAGAAATCCCTGCGCTGTTTCTTAGTTCAAGTACTGTTTTCATCCTCAAAAACAATTCTGTAACAAGCACTGCAGCAGGAGGAAGTCTCTCCCACATTGAAAAGAATCAAGTGCAGTGTGAAAAGCTGCAACTCAAGAAAAGTGGACAGCTTGGACAATAAGAGCCTTGTTTAGGCTGTACCAGTGTGTATTTGGCGATTTTGCTAAAGCAGAGACAAAATTTACGGCAAAGCAACAGTGGTTTATGAATTTTCTCTAAAGTAGGCATTCAGACACTACCAACTCATTATCACAACAGAGACCTGGTTGGCAACGATGATTAATTTCAGTCACCTACTAAAACCACACATACTAAAACCACACCTTTGCACTTATTTTTCGGTTGCTTGAGCATGAACGTCTAATCGTCAAAATGAGAACCGAAGACGCTTTAAAGACTTAGTTTATAATTCTTGATAATTAGGATTCCAGCATTTGGGCCCCATCCTGCTGCTGACTGGGTGGGTGGGGTGCGAGCTGGGCTCCCAAGAGCGGTTCTGCAGTTGCTGGAGTCCCGTCCCCGCGCCCACCACCTCGGCTGCCTCGGTCCTAGCCGGTAGCACGAGTCGAGATGAAGTCGGGGGTGTCACGGGCGCTGGCCATCCCGGATGGCAAGCACTCGTGGCCAAAGCTCCTGGCCGCGGCTAGCCTGTCTGCAGCCTTACGGTGGCTTTCCCCACGGACCAGGCGGAGTTGCTCGTGTCCCTTCCTCCGCGGCGCTTCCCTCTAGACTTCCAGGTCCAGGCCTATCGGGGCCGCGCGTGGTCCGAGCGGCCTCGCGCGCGCTGGTCCGGGGACGCGTGTGGGGACCGGGCGGCGCGCGGGGGCTGCAGGAAGCGGGGGATAGCGGCGGAGGCGGCCGCTCGGACACCGGCTCGGCTGGGTTAAAGACACCCGGAAACGGATCCGATTCGGTGGCCGCGGGAGCCAGCGTCTAGGAGAGAGCGAGGGCGGCGGACGGACGGCTGCTGAGTAATCCCCCGCCGCGCCGCAGCCCTGCCCGGCTCCTCCCTTCGCGCCCCTCCCCGCCCCCGCCGCCCGCTGCGCTCGGCTGGGGCAGGTGCAGCCGGGCTCCGGGCGCGCGCGCGCGGGGCCGCAGCAGCCGCTGGCCGACCTCGCCCCAGCGACAGCGCTGGGCCTCGCGCCCCATGGCCGGCTCCGAGCAGCAGCGGCCGCGGCGGCGGGACGACGCAGACTCGGCCACGGAGGAGTCGGCGCCCCTGCAGGACGCCGAGCTGGCCCTGGCCGGCATCAACATGCTGCTCAACAACGGCTTCAGGGAATCGGACCAGCTTTTCAAACAATACAGGTGACCCGCGCGCCCCTACCGTCCGCTCGCGCGCTTCCACCTGCGACTCCGCACCCCAAGGCCCCGGCCAGCTGTCCCTCGGCCCTGAGCCGGTGCCTTTCTTCCCTCTCCAGCCCACCCTCTCTCCGCTGTGTTCTCGCTCCCCGGGACTCGCAGCACTCCCCTGCAGCATCGCTGCACTTTTTGTCCCAGCCTCGCCCTCTCCCGGGCTGGGACCCCTTTGGCTACCGCTGCCCGGGCCCGTTAACCCTCCGACGCTGCGGCGAGCCCGGGATTTGGCGGGGCGGCCACTCGAGCTCACGCGCTGCGGGGCACCCTTTGTACCGCGGAGCACACACGAACTCAGCATGCCGTGCCTGGCGCCTCGCGTTGCTTTCGCGTCATGGTGCGCTCCAGGCGCTTGCATTGTTTGGGAACAGACATGCATTTAAGTGCCTGGTCGTGCAAGAATTTCACCACCTCAGCCCAACTCTGCTCTAAAAACTCATTCTTCCAAATCGTGCTATCTCCCAAGTAAGCGTGTTTATTCAGAATTCCTCTAACTTCCAGAGAGAAGGAAGGGGGGGGGGGCTTTAAAAAATACGTAAATGTGAAAGGGAACATATATGTGTTCTGTTGGTTTTTTTCTCTCTCTCTTTAAAAAGATACAAAAGAACTAAAACCTGGTAGTTTCTTTTGTAGATATGGGAGGAGCCTTATCCTTTTGGGGACCAGAGTCATCATTCTCTTTCTCATTGTAACGCACAAGTTCGCGATTTGCCCTTGGCGGGTTGACAACGCAAAGGGCTGCGGAGGAGGCGCTGCGGCGACGCAGCCTCTGGAGTTTGGCTGGAGTGCCAGCGCCCATGTGCAGTTGGTGTGGGAGCGCAGTTAGCAGGGAAATGACACTGAGGTGCTGACGCCTGGGGTTTTCACATCTCACTGGAGGGCGCTTTCTGCTCAGCCCAGCTCCCACAGGCTTCCTGGCCCAGCAGGGCACTTCTCACTCAAGCAAGCGATTTGACTTTTAAATGAGCTTCCCCACACCTCTTGCCCCTCCCCGTTGGGGGCTGTAAAGAAAAACTTGGCTTTACAAGGTGTTTTATTTTTCAAGCGTGCAAGCTCCCAGGTCAGGCTGGAATTTCCTTAAAGCCTATTGTTGATGGAAGCTTTAAAAGCTTTGTTTATCTCATGGACTCTTCTGTAGTGGGTCTTTTTTTTTTTTTTTTAATCTTCTGGAATTTTTTTAGCCTTTAGAATGTCTTGTGTACCGGGCTCTGACTTTGGACCTGCAGTTTTGTGTCCTAAGAAAGTTGGGTGGCTGGAGACCTGAAGATTTCCATCACTGATTAGTTGCTGAGAGTTGGCCAAGCGAATTGCAATCTATCTGGTTTTGAAATCTTCTGAGACATTTATTTTAATGGTCCTCTCCACTCCCCACTCTCAGCTCCTTCACTGCAACTGTAGCACATTTAAACTGCTACCCTGTGGTTGCCTTTCTGTTCAAAGTAAGAAACCTTTGCCGCCTGTCCCCCAGTGGTGTGCAGTGCACAGGAGGCAGGGCTGGGCCACAGCAGCCTCATCAGGGACCTACGTCATCTTACAGGTGTTTTGTGAGTGAGCCTGTGTTGCAGGGACGTGATGGAGGTGTCCAGACAGGCTTTACTGTTTATGGCTGGGAGCTGGAGCGAAGTGCTTGTGTTTGGGAATGGGAACTGGAGATAAGGAAGGGAGGGAAAAAAATGCTGTGGTACCTGTTCTCTGCCAAGCACAGTGCCAGACAGATTTCCTTATATGTTCTCACTGTTCACGGCGGGGGGGTGTAGCTGCTCCTGACAGTCCCACAGGGAGGAGCTGAGATTCTGAGATGCAGCACTCCGCTTCTAAATCAGGCACTCTCAACTTGCCTGTTCTGCCTCCTTCATGAAATGTGTTACTTTGTGTTGTCTGCCTTGTGACTTTATTTTCCTGAGTGATAGGAAGGGTGGTAGAGGGTGATGGCATTACCCTACTAGCCTTCCCTCACTCCAACTGTTTAGTTTGTGGTATAGAAAGTCACTTAGTCTTCCCTCTTTGCCAAGTGTGGTTCTACTCTCTGCTAAAGCACAGGTGTGCAGAGGGGTGGCCAAAAGCCTCACTCCAACTCCAGCTACGAGGGTTCCAATCCCAGTATTGCACTTTTGTAGCTGCTCACTTGGGCTTCTCAAAGTTTGTTTCTTTGCTGAGAGGAGTAGCAGATCTGACCCCCATGGCGTGGCTGTTGGGATGAAGAGCTCCAACGTGAGGTGTGTGCCCCAGGGTGAGCCCTCACTACATACCTGCTAGCTTTTGTGCTATTAAGCACATTAGCCTTCCTGTCTAATCCTTTGCTCTCATCTCGACTGCAGAGTTTGCAGGTGACTTGCAGGTCACTTTCTATATTCCAGCTGAAAGATTTAAGTGAGAGTAGAATGGTGGCCACATTGGGTTGAAACAGTTAGAGGGTGGCCAGCATGATTGACAAGTACAAAATTGTAGTTAGGAGGAGTGACAAGTCCTCTGTTGGGTAGGAGTTAGAGAGGCACACTAAGTTACTGCACAGTAAGGTGGCTAATAATAATAGTAATGTGTTGTATTTAAAAAAGCAAATAAGAGGATTTTGCATGTTTGTACCACAAAGGGCATGATGAATATTTAAGGAAATAGGTATGTTTGCCCTTATTGAAAGTTATACAAGGTATTCATGCACTGAATCACAGAGATGTGGAGTTTTTAATGTGTCAGTTACAAAGTTAAAGATCCTTAAGTTAAAATTCTACTGTGTATCGGAGGACTTCCCTTCCTGTCCCAGCATTGCATGGCCTGCTGCCCGGTTCAGCAGGTGACCAGTGTCTGTGCAAGCCCTCTGGCCCAGTTTATCTGCAGCAAAGGGTTTGACCAGATGGTGTTGGTCTTCTCTTCCTGGTAAACTTTCGGCTGCCCCTTTGTTACAGGCACATACTTTGTTTCTGGCGTTAACAGTTTCATTTTGTTAAAGCTTGAAGGACATCTTCTCCTGCTGCATCTCAAAGGCAGGATGATACAGGATTGATCAAAGGGAGCTGACATTTAGCCTAGTGGTTCAGATGCTTCTGTCCCACATAGCTGTGCCCAAAGTTCAGTCTCTTACACTGGCTCCTGACTCTAGCATTTTACTAATGCAGAACCTGGGCAACAGTGGTGATGGCTCAAGGAATTAAGGTTCTTGGTACCCAAGTGGGAGACCTGAATTGAGTCCCCTGATCTTGGCTTTGGCCTGGCCCAGACCCTGCTGTTATAGGCATTTGTTAAGTGAACTAGTGGCTAGAACAATTCTCTCTCTCTCTTTCTCTCTCTCTGTTTTTCTGCCTCTCTGCCTTTTGACCAAATAAAAATTTAAAGTTTTAAAATTCCATCGCTAACTGCCTTATGAGAAATGGTTGCTTTATAGAAGCAGACTGTATGAGCAGAAGTAGGAATGGTTTACATGAAGGTCATTCTGAGTGGGAAATCTGATTCCGTAGTTCAGATATTGCACATGTTAGAATTGGAAATGTCAGCACAGTAGAGGACTTTTCTGGCCTCTACCTCTGTCATGATGGTAGCAATAATGCAGTGACAGGCTGCCCCATCAAGGAGATATTTCCCCAAATACCGGATAGATGTGTGCTCCTTTGGGGCCTTTTGAGTCCAAGGGTATACATTTGCAAATTCGTGATATCTGCTACCTGAACTCGAACTCCTGATCTTGGTCTTTGGGCTCAATGTTCTAATCCAGCAGAACACACACACACACAGGTTGTGACCCTTGGCTCCTCATGCACACAGTAAAATACACCATGGGTTATGCACACACAGCAGGGACTGAATTTTAGTGGATAAGGTTGGCAGGGGTAGGGAGGTAGAAGCATGTGGCAGAGGCCTGTTTTGCAGTGGTAATGGTGTCTGAGTGTCAAGTCGGGCACATCCCAGTCAGGTGTGTGGGTAGGAGCTGGGAGGAGCAGGGGCAGGAGGAAGGAGAATGTGAGATGTCCTGGAGGCGACAGGTGAGCAACCTGCCTGGCACCATGAAAGGGCACTGGGAGAAGAGGGGTCAGGTCTGTGAGTTGGGGTGACTGGACTTGCACATCCGACGGCTCATTCTGCACCTGCTGTTTCTTTCTCCCCACTGCCTGGCCTATTCTGCTTATGAGTCAGTGCTGTTTTATTGATACATTGCCACCCAGTGTCTGGCCAACTCACTTTTCCCCGTGAGCCTGGTCCACAGCATGGCCATCACAGCTGTAATGAACTCCTGCCTGCTTGGGGGCCTCTGGGCCCTAACGTCACCATCTTTTCTCTCTTTGGCTCTTTGAGATGTTGCTCAAACCAAGGGACTGGAAGGAGAGGGGAAGTCACAGAGCTGTGAGGGGCTGCTGGCGCAACAGATCTTTCCTTTGCTACTTCTGTAGTCCTTATGTTTAGGCTCCCTTCTTCCACTGGAGGCCTCTGTCCTGTCTCCTGCTCTGTCTTGACACCTGCAGTCACTGCTCCTGCCAGTACCTAAGAGTCCCTGGCTTCCTGTATCATCATAATGTTGTATTTAGGTAGTGTCAAATCATCATATAATGGTTTTTATTCTGAATGTGCCGTGGTAACAGTATGCATGGTAATGCATATGTCCTGGAGATAGAATTAGCATATAGTTGGAGATCCATTTTAAATTCTAAAATGGCAAAAGCATATTAAAGATGAAGAACCAGAGAAGTTCACGGTGGTGTGTATGAATCTGTGGGTCCTAAATTGCTGCAGTTCATGGCACATGACAAAGACATGAGATTTGGTGAGTGTGTTGACTATGGGGCCAGGACTCCCATAGGAATAGTTCATTGTTATCTCAGTGGTTGGCAAACCTTGGCTTATGGACCAAATTTGGCCCGCTACCTGTTTTTTGTAAATAAAGTTTTATTGGAACACAGCCTGATTCATTGGCTACTTTTGCACTGCAAATTCAAAAAAGAGTTATTCTCGTCAAGCAGAGGGTC